AAAACGCAAGCTTATTAGTTATACATGGTAGCACACAGAAAACCACACTACAGCGGCAACATACACTGTGAAAAGTGGGCGGGCGTAAGCTAGGGGAAAAGGAAATAACGTTGAGCAGTCAATAAAGTCCTGTGATATAAACTCATGGCCTCGGCTACTAGTGGACCCGTGGTGTCCAACGTACGTCACCTTATCTGGGAGCATATGCCATGCCTTCAGGAACAGCTTTTTTGTTTAAACGTATACTACAAGTCTTTGAATGTGCCTGTTTTTTTGTTTTTTTTTTGTATCTCCTTGGTTTTCATGCATAATCTTGTATGCTTAATCACTACACGATTTAAATGAGAGACGGAACTTGGATACTAGACCATTGTCATACGTCGTTCTATTGGGATGCCCTCTGGGTTGCTACCCATAATACAGCGGTACATTCAAATACGTTTCACTACAGAACCACTTAACCCTTGCGCTTGGTGATCTACATTGCTGTCCAGCTTACGGTATTTCTTTGTCGCCTCTCTAAGAAAGTGACTTTTTTAAAGCACCGAAAATGAATCGCCGATATGGGGCATCAATGCCTCAATTGCTGAAGTTTAAAGTTCATTATTAAGTAGCAGCCATATCGAAATATTTGTCCCGACCATCTGGACCTGAAGCCAACCCAAAAACTAATTATCCATAGACACAGATACGACACCGTCTCCCTAAATCCCGGCTGCGGCGGCTGCGTTTCCGATGGAGGCGGAGATGTCGTAGGCCCGTGTGCTCATGTTTGGGTGCACGTCAAAGAACCCCAGGTGGTCAAAATTTTCGAAGCCCTCCACTTCGGCGTCTTTCATAATCATATGGTGGTTTTGGGACGTTAAACCCCACAGATCAATCAATCAACCGTCTCCCTTCGTTTGTACTTCCTTGCGGTATAGGAATGTTACATAGAAGTTAAAACCAATGGTTAAGGTACCCCAGCACACCAACAAAGGCACCCATGCAAATGTATAGCGCCGTACTGCTTGTAACACAGTGTCTACACTCCCTTGAAATATGGTGGTGTCCCGCTGAGTCCCAGCTGTACACCACTCAGTCTCGTGCTCTTGTAATAAAAAATATAAAGAAAGCAAGCCACCCAGAGCTCTTAACAATGACACGTCTGCTGCGGTGAACGCTACATGCAACTCGGAACCAGCGCTAAACTGCTCCCCCGTCTAATTGTTGTCTTTTGCCTAACGTTGCAGACAGTCCTAACACAATCTTAACGTTGCCGACAGTGTACAGTTCAACCCTTGTACCACGTATACAGTTTGTCGGAACAGGAACGTGCCCGTAGTTCGCACTAGATGTCACCCACACGGGTGCACGCTGCAGTGCTTTACTACGCCGTGGCTGACAGGAACTGTCGGAAAAGAAAAGCAGATGTCTGCCTGCACGTGTAGTTGCGCTTCGAAGGTGTTAGCTCTGTCGTGGGCGCATCTAACGGGGCGTTCACAACTGCGCAATCATCGTCAACGAGACAGCTGGCGCCTCGCAGTCTGACGAAGTTACAGAAACGAAACGAAAAAGGATCAAGAGACCGTAATTTGCCGCAGGCAGGAACGAAGGTTTTTCAAGAACAGAAGCAAGAACACTGTCACGTCAAACCAACCTGGCGGGCTAGAAAAGTGCACAGAAAGAGTGGCGGTGACACAACCACGTAGCTTCGGGACGTTTCGCCTGGGACAGCTGTCTCCCCGGGCGCGATGTCTGGATTTTTTCATCGGTCGCATTTGTGCTCCTTCCAATCTCGTCACGCATGGTAGCGTTTCGTGGCGGGCTTCGAGAGCTCGTTCGGCGCGGACAGGTAAAAAAAAGCACGAAGGATACATGCTGCCGCTCGCTATCGCCGACAGACACTTGGCGACCGGGGCCGCGACTGATTCACATGACAGGGGCATACGAGACACTTCCGTAGCCAAAGCCAAGAATACGCGCACTCGTGAGAGGGGTTCAAGTGAACGCGGCAAAACTCACGCAGCAGTTGCAGAAGTAGAATTGGTTTGACGCTCCATCATGGCGGGATCACAAAGGGGTATTGTTTGTCCGGTTTAGCGCGGCTTCGCGGCAAACTCGCCACTGTTGTCTTGCAGTGTCTGCGAGAGAAAGGGGAAAAAACAAAAAGAGCGCGACGTTCGCTAGACATGCCAGAGAAAAAGAAGCCCATTGTGCTGGCCACGTTGTGTCTGCAGCGCGCGGTTCAGACCTGGAGGCGCCAGGCTTGTCAAGAGCGTCAGGCGAATGAACCGAACGTCAGACAGGTACGAGGAAGGCTTGTGTCTTCCACGTCAGCGGTCTTGACATTGCTGCCGAAGACCTTGCCGAGCAACGTTACGGCGAAGAAAAAGAGTTCGACTCGCGCGATTACAGTGAATACACCAGCCAGCTATTTGAAGGTATGTAAATTTCATGGCTGCGTTCGTTGCAACCTTCAAGGAAATTTTCTTCATGCTACGCCTAAATGGCAAAGTTCATTGTTTGTCCTAATAAAGTTCATTGTCTGTCTGCCTTTCTGTCTGTCTGTTTATGCAGAAAACAAACTTTTGAGAATCCGTGTGACAATGGAAGTACCGTTCTGCTGGCGTCGTTTGCAATACCTCGTTATACCCACGAACGCACTACCTCACCTGCCCCTATTCCTTGTGAGCTACTGTTGAGGTGTCGCACGCTGATGTAGACAGTTACGGGGCTCACTTTTTCTCTTCTTTTCCCTCTTATAACCACAATCATAACCACAGTCTTGTCGCAATAAAAGAACAATAGTAGTTGCGCTATCTTGTTGTTTTTGTACTAAACATTGCAAATCGAGAAACTCAGTACATGTCAGACGCCACGGAGATCTGGCTGACTGAGCCATGCCAAGGCAGTGGCGGCTGAATATCGTGGATGTATGGATGGATGCTACGGGCATTGCCTTTATAACGAGGTGCTGCCATGTGTGCCACCAGGCTAGCAAGAAAAAAAACACTAAAACTTTCTTTTAATGTTGGCGTAATGCCCTTCGAATAAATCGATCCTATAATCATTAATTTTATTATTATAGGATCGATCACATCAGTTTTATCGTAACATGTCCATGTCTAAGGGTGCCACCTCTGAGGCACAGCTGGCCTACGCGGCAATGAAAACTGCCGAGCATAATGGCAAATGTCGGCAACAAAACATCAAGACAACTTGGTAAAAGTGGTGCAGTTGGGAAGTCTCTTTTTCAGTTTTCGCTTATTTATCTTCCTTATTTTTGTCTTGCTCTCTCTCTCTCTCTCTCTCTCTCTCTCTCTCTCTATATATATATATATATATATATATATATATATATATATATATATATATATATATATATATATATATATATATATATATATATATATATATATATATATTCTTGCCACTTTTAAATTTTTGTGTCACTCTTTCTATTTCTCGCTTGATTTTTTCCTTCTATATTTATGCGTGGCATTGCGTGCGCTTCGCCAAGCGACCACAGCCTACGACAGGATACAAACAGCATACGATAGCGTACGAAAGCCCGTTTTCCTACAGTACCTCGCACTTGATACCATCACAAAGGTGCTCGAAGAACAAGACGAGGAAGACTTCTCTTATACGCGAGCGCGCAGTCAATAGCTGCGGATGGCTAAACTGTACATGGTTTTGGCTAGGTTACGCCATGCGAGGCCAGCATGCGATGGCGTTGGACCGCCCAGGCTCCACTAAAAACGGAATAGCGGGAAAATGTTCTATGTGTAATAAGGCTGGCAGGTTTTGTCGCGGTTTAATTGTAAAAAGAAAAATGCAACTACAAATGACCTCACAGACAATTACCGGGGTAGTTAGGCCGTTATACGACAAAGAATGGGTCTGATATTGTCCGACGAAAAGTGTCAGTGGAGAAAATTAATTCTACCAATTCTATGTTCAAAAACATAATTATTGAATCTTAATCATTGAAGCCTAATTATGCAATTACATTCTTTTATGGAGAGACAACTTCTTCGATCAAATGGGGGGGGGGGGGTAATCTGACGAACAGTCACATTATTAGGTAGAATACAGTCTGAAGAGGGGATCACAGATAAATCTTTTGAACAAACGCACAATGCCGAATGATATGTGCGGGATTGCGCATTATGTTGACGGTTACAAAATGGTCAGGGTGACATCTTAAGAGGGTGGGGATGAACTTTATGTGGTGAGTACACAAGATGTAGCGAGGGGAGGCAAGGAAAGTAAGAAAACGTCAAGAAAAACGAAGAAGACAGCACATAAAGCCGGACAAAGGGCAGCGGGTGGAAACGACGCAGACGAAGCTGGCAGAAGAAAAGCAAATAGTTGTCAAGAGAGATGAAAATATATATGTGAAGCGGTCCAGACGGCAGCCAACACCAACTGGAGGGCAGACGACTGTCCAGACGGCGGCGGGGAAGTCCCTTTTGAGGTCAACAAGCAAACCCTTCAACACCCGCTAGCTTCCCATTCATAGTACGCCAGGCACTGTGGAATAACGGGACGACAAGCCTCTCCAGACCGTAGACGAAACAACAAGAGTGAAGAAACGAACAACCGCAACCCTTCTTGGACAATGGAAAAGGTGCAGCGAAAGTGTCAAGAGCGGAACTCGTCAATCCTTTAGAGATGAACGGAGGTACGCGGTCATCGTCTGACCTCTTCGCCGTCGCTTTCTCCTCAGCCTCTGTTGCTTTTGTTGACCTCTACCTCCAGCTGCGAAGCGACGCGAAAGGCATTCGACTCTTCTAAAGCATTCCCCCGCATCCCTCGCGGACCATCATTCATTCTGCCAGGCTTTCGGTCATACTTTTTACATGCCCGTGGAGCCGGCTTTTGAGTTCGGCATTTTCTGTCGCTTCTTTAGGGTGACCGAGCCACACAATTGTGACATCAAATTCTAAAAATGACCGCCATTCACCCATTTCAGTGGCCAGCGCTGTAGGACTGCCACCAGTTCGCCGGGAGAGTCAGAGGTCATTCGTAGCGGAGCCGCTGACCTTGGCTAAAATAGGAGATAAAAGCCTCATGCTTAGTTGTTGGACACCTGCTGAAAACTAAAGGGAACATTTTGCTTAATTGCCAGCCGGCACCCACGCAACTATTTCGACTGAGTTCTCCGGGACATTCCATTTGTCATGCTCTTCGAAGCGAGAACTTATAGTGATTTCATACTGGTTGATGCGACAAACACTTGAGAGAAGGGGACGAACTCAGTGTCGCGTGACATGGCTTCACTTCTACCGGGCTACTTTGCATTGATAGCTCGATAATACCAACGTCATATACAGATGCGCTTTCTTATGGCTCATCATTGCAGTCTTAGCACTGAAGGATAGTCGACCTATATCTATATGCTTGATTCGGGCATTATGGCTGTAGCTACAAGAGTACAAATGTTCACGTAGTTCTACAACTGAGTTGGATCGATCACGGAATTAGATTTAGATTAGAATTATATAATTTATTTTGGCTAATGTGATATGACGGAAGAATTGCCATAAAAACACTGCATGCGTCTTGGCTAAAGACTCCTGACTTCATACTATTCTGTTGCTATCAGGTAGCTAGGATATTGTCTCGATATCAT